CTAGTTTATCACCATTGGTCCTACATTCTTGTCAGTCTACCTTGCTATACTATTGGGCCGTGATCACTCGGGAGGTGATCACGGGTATATACTATACATATATACATACTACAGATGGTGACTAAAGTCGGGTCCGCTCGAAGAGTACCCACGAGTGATTCACAGATTGGGGGCTGAAAGGACCTTTGTCCCGACGGCCCTCTATGTGGATCTTTGTGGCGGAGCGACAGGGCAGGTTGAGACCACCTAGGCGAGAGGTGGGCCTGGCCCTGGTCGGCGTCCGCGGTTGCTTCATAATAACACGCTTAACGAGATCTTGGTATTTGATCTGAGTCTGGCCATTTGGTCTATACGCACTAACCAACTACGTGGGAAAGATATGGGCACTCGACGTCGTGGTATCAGCCGAAGCCTTCTAGACGTCAGCGACTGAGCGGCGCGCGTCGGATTGGAATGTAAGCCTGCTCTTGTATTAAGGGGGCTAGTTCTGCTTTCGGCCGCCCACGCAACATGCAGGTGTGCAATGGGCGATGGGCCCAGACCCCTGCGCCATAGGAGTTAGACCGGTGTGCTGACCTCTCTGTTAGGCCTAGGTGGGGCTGCGATGTGTTGATCTTCGGAGGCCGGGCATGACCCAGGAAAGTGTGTCCGGCCAAATGGGACCGAGCATGTTGGGTTATGTGTTGCACCCCTGCAGGGAAGTTAATCTATTCGAATAGCCGTGTCCCTCGGTAAAAGGACGACCCGGAGTTGTACCTTGACCTTATGACAACTAGAAACGGATACTTAATAAAACACACCCTTCCAAGTGCCAGATACAACCCGGTGATCGCTCTCTAACAGGGCGACGACGAGAGGATCGCCGGGTAGGATTATGCTATGCGATGCTACTTGGAGGACTTCAATCTACTCTCTTCTACATGCTACAAGACGGAGGCTGCCAGAAGCGTAGTCTTAGATAGGACTAGCTACCCCTCTCTTATTCTGGCATTCTGCAGTTCAGTCCACTGATATGGCCTCCTTACACATATACCCATGCATATGTAGTGTAGATCCTTGCTTGCGAGTACTTTGGATGAGTACTCACGGTTGCTTTTCTCCCCCTTTTCCCCCTTTCCCTTCTACCTGGTTGGCGCAACCAGATGCTGGAGCCCAGGAGCCAGACGCCACCGTCGACAACAACTACTACACTGGAGGTGCCTACTAGTATGTGCAGGCTGCTGACGATGACCAGGAGTAGTTTAGGAGGATCCCAGGCAGGAGGCCTGTGCCTCTTTCGATCTATATCCCAGTTTGTGTTAGCCTTCTTAAGGCAAACTTGTTTAACTTATGTCTGTACTCAGATATTGTTGCTTCCGCTGACTCGTCTATGATCGAGCACTTGTATTCGAGCCCTCGAGGCCCCTGGCTTGTATTATGATGCTTGTATGACTTATTTATGTTTTTAGAGTTGTGTTGTGATATCTTCCCGTGAGTCCCTGATCTTGGTCGTACACATTTGCGTGCATGATTAGTGTACGATTGAATCGGGGGCGTCACACACAGGGATCTTCTTCAAGAAGTGTTGGGGCATCATCAAGCTCACGGTCATGAGAGTCATCCAGTGTTTTGACTCTCTCCACACCTCCAACCTGCATTGGTTGAATTCTGCCAATGTTGTGCTATTGCCCAAAAAGGAGGGAGCGGAAGGCATCTCTGATTACAGACCTATCAGTCTCATCCACGCCATTGCAAGAATAATTGCCAAGGTCCTTTCGCTCCGGCTGGCTCCACACATGGACTACCTTGTCTCCAACGCGCAAAGTGCATTCATAAAGAGGCGTAGCATACATGACAACTTCATGTGCGTTCGTAATTTTGCTAGGCACTTACACAAGTGCAAGACCCTGTCTCTCCTTTTCAAGCTGGACATAAGAAAGGCTTTTGACTCCGTCAAGTGGGGCTACATGTTAGATCTCCTTCAGCGTTTGGGTTTCCCGGATAGGTTTCGGGCTTGGATTGCTGCACTCCTATCCTAGTCATCATCTCGTATTCTCTTAAATGGCATCCCCAGCCCTCCCATTAAGCATGGGAAGGGGTTCCGGCAGGGGGACCACATTTCCCTCCTGCTTTTCGTCATCGCGATTGATCCGCTGCATAAGATTCTGGATTTGGCAACCCGGAAAGGCCTTCTTCACAAGATACGTGGGCGGGTGCCTACGGTGAGAACCTCCCTATATGCGGATGATGCTGATGTTTTTCTGGCTCCTATCAAAAGGGACGTTGACAATCTTGCTTCCATCTTGAGAGGCTTTGGCGAAGTGACAGGTCTATGCACCAACTTTCAGAAAAGCTCTGTTGTGCCAATTCGATGTAGTCATCTTAATCTTGGGCACACTCTTCAGAGCTTGCCTGCAACTTGTGCTACTTTCCCGGTGAAGTATCTTGGCTTGCCTCTCTCTGTTTGGCAGCTTAGAAAGGTGGATTTCCAATACCTTAAGGACAAGGCGGCTAGCAAATTGGCCACTTGGGACGGCCAAAATATCACTACCATCGGCCGCACGGCACTTGTCAAATCGGTCATTTCATCCCAAGCGATCTACTCAATCACGCCTCTCATTGTGCCGCCAAGTACGCTCAACAACCTAAATAAATTGGAGAGGTCATTCCTATGGTCCGGTGCGGATAAGACAACGGGAGCCAAGTGCAAAGTCAATTGGAAAATAGTTTGTAGGCCAAAGGAATATGGTGGCCTGGGGGTACTCAACACCGAAAAAATTTCGCGGGCTTTACGTCTTCGTTGGCTGTGGTATGAATGGAAGGAGCCCCACAAGCCTTGGGTGGGGTTTGGTAACCCTTGCACCGCCGAGGACCTCGAGTTTTTCTACGCCTCTACAACTATCACTGTGGGTGACGGTGCAAAAACACCGTTCTGGGACTCACCTTGGCTATTTGGGCAAAAACCCATGGATATTGCTCCATTAATCTACGAGGCTTCAAGGAGAAAGGATTGGAAGGTGCGTGAAGCCCTCTATGAGAATGCATGGATTCTCAAAATCAATCCAAACACGGTTATCTCCATTCGCCACATTAGCGAATTCTTCACTCTTTGGATGCTTGTTCATGACTTCCCCCTTGAGGACCAAGCCGAAGACGACATTACTTGGAAGCACGCGAACGATGGGATCTACTCGGCGGCCACTGCGTACAAGGCTCTGTTCCTTGGATTGACTCTCTCTCCCATGGACCGTATGGTTTGGAAGGCTTGGGCACCCCCTAAGGTAAAATTCTTTGCGTGGCTTGCCCTGCAAGACCGAATTTGGACCGCCGATCGATTGGAGAAGCGTGGTTGGGTCAATTGTGGTCTTTGTCCACTATGCAAGAGAGAGCAAGAAACGGGGCCACACCTCTTCTTCAAGTGTCGTTACACTCTTAGGCTTTGGAGATCTATCATCGAGAAGCTTGGGCTACCTCACGTCAACATTCCCGATTGGCATCTTGATGAATCCGTCAAGGAGTGGTGGGTCAAGCGTACCGATGACCGAAACCCGAATTGGCATGCCATGTCCTCTCTCGTCATGCTCACCTCTTGGACCATTTGGAACGAGCGAAATGCTAGGGTATTTCGGCAAAAATTTGCGCCACCGCCTATTCTCCTCCAAACCATCATTGGTGAGGCAAAGTTATGGGTTACTGCCGGCGCCAAAAAGCTAGGGACTATCATTGTATGTGAGTAATTGTCATGTCGCTTATATGGGGTGTCCTGTAAAACTCTAAACTCTATTCTCTCCTTATTTAATAGATGAGGTAAATCTTATGCCTCCGTTTCGAAAAAAAACACATACAATCAGAAGGAGTTGCAGACCAATTTATGGTTGAATGACTAGAAGGACAGTGATATTTTCAACCCATCAAAACTAAAATTAAGACGTGGTTTGTGGCTTCCGCAACACCTCACGTTCCAGTACTGCACGAGCAAAGCCCGGGAGGCTGGATACGACGACGTTCATTATCTGCTCCAAAAAATTTAATAAGTAGATAACGATATCACACATGCATTTACCGATCCACCCCTCTACGCGTGAAAGCTCGACCCCACTGAAAGACTTGCGTGTGCAAGGAGGCAAAACATTAAGCATGGTTAATTTATTTTAGCTGATTAACTAAGCTAACCCGAGTTGGGTTAGACTTTTCCCAGTCTCGGTTTAGACGACAGTTGCGACTTTGACCTGCCGTCAGCGGGTCGTCATGGCACATGTGTCAATCGAGCTCCTCGTGGGCCCACATATATACATTCTGTACAGGCCTCAACGGCTGAGATCGATAGCCCGTAGGTCAGTCGTCAGTTTTTTTTTTTCCACAGAATGTAGTCATCAGTTAATCACGGTACATGTGCACTCGAATATGTTCGTCAGGGAACAAATTAAGGAGCTGATATCTTATCTTTTAAAAGATGAACAGTTACAGGCGGCAGGCACGGCTAAAGAAAGAGACACATTTATTTGAGAAAACAACATGTGATCAATTAGGAGCGGCGACTTGACCAGCAGTGGTAGTAGTAGTACTATAGTACAGTAGATGCATGCATGGTGGTGGTTGCAGTCCCCAACTTTGCTTCCGAGACAAGCTAAGGCAAGGCGTCCAATCTAGAAGGAGGAGAAGATTCCTCGCTATCAAGCTGTTGCCGCTGCACTACAATACACACCGAAAGCTAAAACTATTTACATGCCTTCCGTTTCACATGCACCTAATCAACTGTAGCTGAACCTGTAAAGTAGTGTGGTGTGGCTACTATTACTACAACTAATTACTGTCTTAATCAGCTACCCTTGCTTCAGAGTTCAGCCCATCCCTCTCTACAGCAAGGCCAGCAAAAATTAACCTTCGAAACAGCAACCGTCGTCTTCCCAGAGCGGAGAAAGCAAAGCTGTGGATTGATGATAGCTTGCTGCTCTCGCTGGCTCTCTGATTAAGTGTACCTTAATTGATCAACGGGGTATAGGGGTGGAGTGGTGATGTGATCATCCGAAGTTGTAGCCATTGGGGGTGTTAGTGGAGGCCGGGCGGGGCAGCATCTGCGCCGCCTGGATGCTCTGCAGCAGCAGCCTGTCCTCGGCCGACGACTCGAACCCGTGCAGGAACGACATGTCCGCGCCGCCGCCTCCGTGCATGCCGCCGTAGTCGCCGTACTGCTGCTGCTGCTGCTGCGGCCGGAACAGCCGGCTCTGCTGCTGCTGCTGCTGCTGCAGGGACGAGGTGACAGCGGACGGGCGGTGGTGGCCGAGGTGGTCGAACGACATCACGGCCGAGCTCGGCGACGGGCGCACCGGCATGCCGCCGCCGAGGCCGTAGTCGCCGCCGCCCGCGCCGAAGCTGATCACGGGCCCGCCGCCCGCGCCAGCCGGGCCGTAGGGGCCGGAGGGGATGCCGGTGAACTGCTGCACCATGGCGCGGAAGTTGGTGGTGTCGGTGTTGAGCAGCGTGACGGGCGCCCGGCGCGACGCGCGGGACCTCCGCCGCGCCGGCTTGCCGACGCGGCCTCCCTCGACCCCGGGCGCCGACCTCGTGGGGCTCCCGCCGCCCGAGCCCCCGGACGTCGGGCTAGACACCGTCACCACGCTGCCCTCGGCCGTCGCGGCCCCATTGCCGCCGACGCCGTAGATGCCCGCCCAGTGGCCCATGTTCGCGCCGGTGTCACCCATGGCATGCAGTAGCACTGACCGCAGTAGGAGGGAGGAGTAGAGTTCTCGAGCCGAACGGGGAAGGCGTCTACTTATAGGAGACCCGCGACGAGTCAAAGGGGGTGCTCAGGGAGACAACTCACCGTTGGATGGAGAGGATGGGCGAATCGACGGCTGGCGCGGGTGTGGGGTCGCCTTCTGGAACGTGGCTGACCCGCGCGGTTTCCGCGAAGCGTCGCGCCCGAGGTGGCGGCCCAGTAGCGAACGGGTCGTTGGCGCGGGGCCCGCCCGCCCGCCCGCACCAGCGAGCCCCCGGCGATGGCGCCGTTAACTCGAGGCAGCTGAGCCGATTCCTACCTCCCCTACTCTCTCTCTCTCTCTAAAAGGAAAAAAAGATGTTTGAATTGGGTCGCCTGCGCCGGCTTGCGTTACGGAGTGGCGTCGCTGTTGGTGGCGCGCCCGCCGGAAGCACGGTCGGGCTCACCGCGGGCGGCGCGAGCAAGCTGGCGGTTCGCGACCACCGGTGCACCGCAAGCACGCGCGGCGCCGCCGTGTGTGGTGCACGTCCACTTGGGCCGGGCGTGCCGAATCGAGCACGCGCGTGGACGATCTCTGTCTCTTGTGAACGAGATCCGCGGGGCGCAAGGGTTTAGCCGGCAAACAGTGGTCGCTTTTCACGCTCCGTCGATGGGCTGTCCGCGCTTTACACAACATGCGTTCTTTTCATCTTTTTTTACGTGTGTGAACCGGCCGGGGGGCGAAGGAAGAAGAGAAGAGACGAGGGAATATCGTGGCACGCAGGCAAAGCGAGAACGGTCGACCGGGGCCGCCGCGAAGCTTCCACCAGCTAAAGGCCAAAGCCGACGGACGGCGACGTGCATGGCGGGACGTGCGCTGAAGCTGAAGCAAGCTAGCACCACTGTGGGTGCGCGCGCGCGCGCTGTGGCGTTCGTCGGCACGTGCCCCTTTGATCGGATCCCACTTGGACGATGAGGGATGTGCATGTCTACACTACACGGGCGGCCGGTGGATCGCGGGGAGGAATGCTATTGTAGTAGTATGTCTTTTACTCCGCCTCGGTGGTTCAAATGCACCGGGAACAAAAACTCCATGTCCACCGGACATTTCACAGGACATTCACAGGACATTCGGATGCACGGAACAACAACTCCATGTCCATAACAATGATCGGCTAGAATTAGAGGAAACAGGCTAAACCATAAGGCCAAGGGCATGAACTCTACCCACTGAGGGCTCCTTTGATTCAAAGGAATTGCATAGGATGTTAGTAGGATTTGAACCCTTAGGAATTTTTTCCGTGATGCTCGTTTGATTCGTAGGATTGACACCCTTAGGAATTTTTCATAGGATCCATTTGTACTACATTTTGGAGAAATATTTCCATCCACTCAAACCTCTTTGTAGGATTCCTTTGTTTTCCCCGCGCTATCAAACATTCTTTCAAATCCTTAGGATACTAGGGACATGTCATCCTATTCCTGCATTTTTTTTATTCCTTCATTTTGACAATCCTGCGAATCAAAGAGGCCCTGACTATTAATAAACGGTGAAACAAGCAAACAAATGCACCGCCAACTCACCAAGCACATTGACACGCCAATGAATGACAACGAAATAGTCCCCACACGTGTCATGGCATCCTCACACCCTTCATTGAGTGAGCCAGATCCGGCGTGGCCATCCCAAGGAGGGAGGTGAAGATCCCAACAGGCTTCCGAGGAAGCACATAAGATATAATGATCATGCACCTATCATCCTCACACATATATTTTGTCTTGTTAGTTTGAGAAAAGAATGTGGCAAAAGACATCACAAGATTAGAACTAAGTGGTAAAATATGACAAGAGCTTTTAAATGAGATACCTGTTGGCATAAGCCGTGACTTGATGAGTTGATGGTGAAAGATGAAATTTACTCAAAGAAGTCGTATGCAAAAAATGAGAGTTAAAAGTGCACATTCAACCGAACTTGTGTGGGCATATGACCCTTGCTAGGTAAGCCAATTTTAAAACGTCTTGAACTTTTAAACTTGTATCGTTGTGACTATATAAGCAGGTTGATTTATTCATTTTCCCGTGTAAGTCAATTTTGTCACTCGTTTGATGGGCCATTCTTTCCCCTCAAGACCCTCATTTTCTTGTTCCTCTTCCAGCGGCTTGCCTCCATGCCTCTTCTTCGGCTCCAAGGTCGCGCCTTGCTACCACTCGATGCACTGTCCCTACCTCCGACGAGGTCCGCATAATCCGTGCGGGGATAAACAACTAAAGGCCCTCCTCCTCCACCCACAACGGTCAAGCCCCCGCCCCACTCCATCTCCATTTACGACTCATTCCCTGCCCGGCCTCGAAGTTCCACCTTGCCTCCTTTCCTTCTGCGTGAAAATCGGCTTTACACCAAATGTTTTTTTATGGTGACTTACACCAATTCAAGTTTGAGACCCCTTACAAATAGCAAACGCGAGCTTGTATACGACGCCAAACATGCGTTTGCGGACAGAGCACAAACTCCCAACATGTTTGTGTAAAGACAACAGTGCATAGAAGTCTGCTTGGTTGCACTGGCCGGTCAACAAGATTTGGTGCGGCCAAAAACGACATGCTTTGCCGTCATTACGAGTATTTTTATTTTTGATCATCCGAGTTTGCACGGCTCTGACTAGTTGAAGGTCAAAGGAAATTAGACCCTCTCTAGTGGTTGGTGGTTTCAGTTGGTTCAACGCGATCGTGACTGCCCAGCACATATGGATGCATTTACAAAAAGAAAAGTTAATTGGCAACGTGTATAAAACATCCTACTACGTGGCCACATGTACATGTTGTCTTGTTTTTGGGTACAATCCTCTAATTAATTTAGTTAATACGTATAGGCGTCGAGAGAGGGAGAGAAATAATGAAGAAGAGATATGCAGGATGCAGCTCTGCATGTCCCGGCTCGGCTCGGCTCGGCCCAAGGCAGCGGAAAGGAGCGGCACGGCTTCGGTGGCGGCTGGGCCCATAAGCCGACGGACCGGCGACGTATACGTATGAGCTGACGTGATGGCACGAGTCAAGGAGTTGACTCGATATTCTTTCCTCGCATTATTCTACTGCTAGCGGAGAAGACAGTACTACCAGCGTTCTCAACAATCAACACTTTGATTACTGTTGTTAAGCAGCGTTGTTTTAGTTTAAATTTAAACTAAAACAGCATCACTTATACTGGGTCTATTCCAGAATGAAATATACGACCACCACTGTTTGAGTTCAAGCTTAATTGGCCTAACAAAAGGAACAAGCTTAACCTACGCGACACAAGACCGACACTTATAATCCACATCATTCAGACCCTCTTTTTCGTTTGTAGTATGATTTGGATTTTGCGAGCACTCCAGTATGTACATATTCCAGTATGTATATCCCACTAGCACGAAAAAGCTGTATGTCGAAGTCGAGTGAAGATCGCACCATCTCGCGCCCGTTTGTCCGGTTCCTCGGAGAAAACGACCCGTCGCGTTGCAGTTTTACCACATGTGGGTTTAGGACAAACGCAAGAAAATCCAGAGGATGGTGAAAGGATAAGGGCTTGGTTAGGTTAGGATTTGGTGCGGGGCGGGCCCCCGCCAGGAACTTGGTTGACCTTCCAGCCCTTGATTGGCGGGGAGGAAGGAGGCAAGGAACCGGTCAAGATGGCTCACTGGCTAGCTAACTTAACTGCCCCCAACTTCGGGTACTCAGTGCAGTCTGCCGGAGTCTGAGGCTAGAGCATCCAAGTAAGTGTAAAAGAGTAGGGTGGTTGCTAAGCGTACACGTTCAAAGGCTACGCGCCCTACGATCGGGTCCCGTTGAAAGTTCAAGTCGCACTTGTGCGGCCGCGTGAATTTTCAACATTTCCATTCGTGCATGTGCGTATATATAATGTCGTGTGTTGATCGGCAGGTCTAAGCCCGTGCCTGGACGTTTCTGAATGGGGTCCGTCCAAGGATCCTCTTAACCAGGCAGCCGGCAAAGGAGGAACATTTTCCTTTTTGAATGTTTTGATGACTTGCTGGCCACGGTTGCCGCGCGGTAGAAACGTTTTACTATAATTAAAAGGCACCAGTGAAATGTCGTGCAGTATCATTCTTCGAAACTGTATTCTGCATACTTGGATTCTTCGAAGCTTTTGGCTCAAAATTCTAGGGAAAAAAGGATGTACGGAAATCCGGATGGACAACATATCTTCAGAAAAAAGAAAAGAAACATAGTCTTTCTTAAGTACGATACCGCGTAACTTTTGCATACGTAGTCAAATTGTCAAAGGGGCAAAACTTTGCTTAATTACTAGAGTAGAATTTGAGTTCATTACAGACTTAGGGTGCAAGCATCCCATGATGTGCGAGTAACACGGTAGACAGACGTCACGCTGAGGTTGAAAACCCACTTGACTTATGTTTCTACATAAATCAAGTTCACAGAACCCAAATCAGTCCTCAAACTGAAATCTGCAACATCTGGAAATCGCGGACTAGAGAAGATAATGCTTCCTATATGTGCTTCTGAACCTTTATCATCTTTGCTGTTGCTACATTCATCACGAAATGTAATTTTCCATGCATATAAAAAGACGTGGCCTTGATGTTTTTTCACAGGCCTGGAGTACCAATCATATCAAGTCGACTGGAGGTGATTCAAGGAAAGAAGCAAGAACAGAGGTAGATTAGGCTTTCGTTGTCTGAGAAGATCTGTTTACCATGTACTCCCTCCGTTCCTAAATATAAGTCTTAATAGAAATTTCACTATAAACCACATACGGATGTATATAGATGCATTGTATGTGTAGATTCATTCATTTTGCTTCGTATGTAGTCCACGTAGTGAAATCTCTACAAAGACTTATATTTAGGAACGGAGGGAGTAGTATACAGCTCGCGAGACAGCGAATTCGCTGACTGCAAAAGGTCGCTGAAACGTGCTGTCTTGGCTCCAACTAATGCAACATCAACAGCAAAAATTCCAACTAAAAAAACCCAGCAAAATTCCACCCTGACCACAGAGATTTTTCACCATCACAAGAACCACACACATATATGGAATATCGTATATATAATAATGATAACAAAATGTGGAATAGTACAAAACACATCAACGGATGAAAAGAAGTAGGAGTAGCTTACTTGCCCCAATCGCTATCGGCATCGATTTGTTTTGAATTTAATTCTGTGGGCTTCTTGTTTCCTGCACAGCATGCATCCCACCACAACACGGCAGAACACGGCACAACAGCGATGACTGAAACCTACCTCTGCTTCCATGCCAACAGGTATCCAATCGCACGTTGCCACGGCACAGATCAGGTGATCTGGGTTCACAAGAAACCTGACACCCGGGTGAGGCATCTCCATCACAATAATCTGGTCAATTTGGCATGCAGTGTACTACTGTGATTCTGTTTGGATGCATGCATGCACGCAGCACCCAGCATTTGCAGCCATATGTTTCAGATGATGGTTGTGCACAGAATTGATGCCCCTAAAGCTCCGAAGAGATGTAACCATGTACATGAACCTGCTTTACCCAGCTAAAGCATGCAGACGACGCGAGAAGTCAACAATAAGCAAAGCCTTTCGGTGCAAAGTTATGCCCGCTGATCAACTCCTTTTCCTCAGCCTGCACCACAACCCGTTCTTTGTGTGAATCGTCGCGCCTGTCACCATCTCTACTTCATCGGGCGAGCCTCGCAGCTCCACGTCAAACTTTTGCAATAGCAGGGCCAAGGCCACTGTTGACTCCAGGAGCGCGAATTGGTCTCCCACGCATTTGCGTGGTCCTCCGCCGAAGGGGAGGAAAGCAAAGTCTGCTATAATCTGGCAAATGAAGTTTGATGAGGTCTTAGTTTCTTCAAGAAAGAAAGAGGTCTATCAGTAGGATAGAATGACGAGACAAATGTTCAGGCATACCTCGTTCGGATACATCGCGCCAGGACTCCTGTCAGGATCAAACCCAGCCCACCCTTCTATGTTCTCATCCTTCTTTGGGACTGTAAACCTCTCTGGTTCAAACTCATTTGGCCTATCCCAAAAGTACGGGGACCTATGGAGATTGTATATCTGCAGTGCCAGCATTTTCACATAAGACAAACTTCTCAAGGAGAACAGAATAAAGTTTGGAGTCGATCATGAAGGTAACTTATATTGGTACCAAAACTATGAATATCTGAAAGAAAGAACCAGCTTAAATTTGCCAATTCCCCATCTTACCGAAAGAAATATATCGGTTCCTGCTGGTATTTCGTATCCCTCTTTCGCTCCGTTGTACCCACCTATGAATTTGTGTGCATTAATTTTAATAACACGAGTCAGGTATCACATCGCATGCCCTTTGATATCTGGCACATGTTTTTCTGATTGTTGGGAGAAAGCTGTGTGTATTAAAGAGAAGATGGAACCTGGCAATTTATCAGGCCAGAGAGAACGCCTGATTAACAATGGGGGTTGAGGATACAAGCGAAGAGCTTCAACAATGATTAATCTTATGTACCTAGAGCACATCATGAATGCAGTATGTGAAATTTAGAAACATTTATGGCGCATTAATACAGTAAAACTCTTACTAACACATGGTAAGAAAGCGCTAGTGATTTTGCAAGCATATAATGTGCAAAATATACGATGATTTTGTAAAAATTGACACCTGAAAAAAAATAGTGAATAGAAGAATAAAACATAGTTCAATTTACAAGAAATGGTAACATAAGTAACATACTCCAATTTCTTGAGCTTTTCTGCAGTGATTACCCCATCGATCAGTACAGAATCAATCTCTGCCTGGGCTTTTCTCATCTTCGTGGGATTCTGTATCGACATACAGTATATTGTATGATATTCACAATTTAAAGTTAGTTATCTGTTCATGTCAGTTAAAATGTGTACCTGGGCCAGTAGAAAAATAGACCATGTCAGAACAGCCGCAGTTGTTTCATGTCCGGCGATAAGCATTGTCATAAGATCATCTCGAAGCTATCACAAACCAAGAAATTTGTCAATTTATTTGCCTGATTCAAGCAGAAATACAAAGTAAAACTTCGAAGGATATTAAAACATTGGAAACTCCCTGTGCTGGAAGAAATAAATGGTGCAATGAACAAGTTATAGATGTTCCATTCTTACCAAATTAAACATTACATGGGCGATTTACCTGGCGGTCGTCAACATCAGCTCCCCGCATGTCAACAAGGAACCTCAGTAAGCTGGCATCCTACAAATATAATGGCAACATTACGAACTGCCAAACTACCATAGTTATTTTGTAAAGCAACCTGATAAGACCAGCATGACCCAACAAAATCAGGACTAATAGGAACCAACCTTCAATGATGAGTAGTCTCTCTGCTGGAGTTTTTCCACATCAGCTTCCTATAAAAAGCAATGTTGAATTTACTACAAGTTCCAGAAAAAGGCACCATGCATGACTAAGTTTCTGTTGGCACAAACCTGTCTTGTTTCTTTTGCATTTTTAATAAGATCATCAAGGCAATCATTGATAACCTTGAGGTCACTGCGGAACTTCCGCTGTCTTGGCACTATCCATTGAGTTAAAGGAAGATTCCAGTAAGGGATGTAAAAGGTGGATCGATGCTCAGCTTCAAAAAGAGTACCATATACTGCCTGCACAATAGACATAGAAACCCCACAAAGAAGGGCCGACAAAATAAGCAGAAGAGCATTAGTCATGTCTATTCATCCTAAATATGCAAGATGAGTATTCTTCTGTACTTTTACTCAATTTTGAAAACCAGAACAGATGCACTTATCATGAAGAAATTATCATCAGATAGTATAACTACATAGATATCACACCAACCTTGATTACAGGAGATTCCTTATTAACAGAGTCAAAATCAAAATTGAACACTCCCAAGCCAATTATGTCGAGAGCCAAATTGGAGAATTCCTCTTCAAGGTTCACTGTGGTAGATTTGTCACCATGGTCTCCCTTTTCAATAAGTGCTTCAAGTTTCAATATGGTTCTCTCTGAACATTTGGTAAATACTCTCACCATAGCTTCTATGAATAAGGCATGGAACCCAGGAGTTATAACTGCAGAACACACAGAATGGGTAAGTTGCACTATTACAAAATGCAGTGGTGAAGCCACGGTCAAGCTTGTGCGGTCATCTGACCACACAAGATTTTGGCAAAACCCTTAGATTCGAGTAAAAAATATGCAAAAGCTAGTATAAAAGTTGCAAACACACATGTATTTGATATCACAAGTTTAAATTGACACCATATGCTTGTTTTCTTGGCACCGCCACTGACAAAATGTTTTGTGAATGCAAACATGAGATAGGTTCACGTAGGCTCTGCAATAGTTTAATTATGTTGAAAAGTTGCGCCATAAGGTAACTCCCATTTATGATAATATTTCATAAATCATGCTAGTTGGCTCAACAGTCCAAAGAAGCGGTAGGAGCCTAGGACCAATTAGCAGGACTGGAGCTACTATCATAAAGCATACACAGGTAAACTCTATTTTTGAAAGATAAGTTAACCTTTGGTTGTCAGGTTGAAAAAAGCATGAACAGGATAATGGATTCATATCAATGGACAACAGTCAATCTGCTTCTATTGACTAACAGGAACTTATACTGGTGTACAGAACATGAAGTATGAATGCACTCAAGGAAGCCTTAGAAGTGCAAATATGATTCAAAATCCAACCTTCTAACCTTTTCTCCTTTGCTTCCAGGTATCAAGGTCAGCAGGTATAAGACCCTTCCCCATTATTGGTTCTAGAATTTCAGCGAGAACTCCCTGATTTCAAGTAGAAAAGTATGTAAGAAAGTAAGCTACTAGATTAATCCAGCAGTTATTCCTTACATGTATTTTTTTTTGCGGGGAATTTCCTTGCATGTATTTAATACTGTTATATGCACAGTTCAGTCACGGGAAAACAACATATGCTACAAATAAGTTGCCAACCATTATCGTCCAAGCTTATCTACAGTTTCAGATGATCTGTGTACTCATTTACATACGTTCACACAGTATGTATTAGAAAGCATACCTTATCATAAGAGAAAGCATTTTCTCGTAGGATGTATCTAGCAACAATTGGATCAGAGACGACAACAAATGATTTGGGTCCAAAAGCAAGTTTGTAGACGGAACCGTGCTGCAAGGATAACAGGATATGTTAGCATAGCAGAGTTTTCCTCATGGTTGCTTGATTATGAACCTAACAATAAAGTAGTTACAACCAAATGAAATTCTATCATATGACAGCAGCACAACTCGATCAAAAAGACCAGACATAAACTATTAGTATTCACCTTGTGATGCTCTTGCTACTACTGCTTTTCTTTTTATCTCGGCATGCAGCTCATAAGGGCATATTTTTTCACTTTTATATGCAACTGCAGTATTTCTGAATAGGGCTGTGAGAGGCCACATGTTATATGACTTGCATGGTGCATACAAATATACCAAATCGAGAAGTTCGTTTTAATGTTGATGAACGCCCTGTTAAATGATGTTATGCGATTTTTTAATCTGAAGGTGAGATGTCAACAAACAGAAGGTTTTCTGAGAGGGTATGATTAGCAATGTACACTGCATATAAGGAGGCCTGATGAAAAAAATCAATGGCATGATTCAAATAAATATGGTTTGAATGGAGTTAGAAAATGGTAATCAGATTATTACCATGCAGGTGGTCATCTGGTCAAGAGTACCAAATTTGTGGAATTATATCATGCAAGTATTCACTCAACGACTCAAATATCATGTACACACGCCACGCGTATGTACTATTCGCAGAGTGCAACTAATACATGCTTCCAGTAAGCAGAACAAAGCACTGCAATAAAAAGAGTAAGCAACACGAGACAGAACGGGATAAGCACCTCGAGGAACCAATCATAGAGCGAATAGAAAAGGGGCCGGTCGAACAGGTCAGTGACAGCACCTTCGGCAACCGGCATATTCTTGAGGTTGCCGCCAGCGAGCAAATTGGTGAGAAGGTTGCTGGCGTTGTCAAACAAGTTCCTCTTAGGCTTGGTGGTTTTGTCAACTCCGGGCGACTGGCATCTGCATAAGCACCAACAGTAAGGGCTAGGCACAGATTGAACTCTGCAAAAACAAAACCTGGTAATTTGGCAGGCGCCGGCACTACCAAATTCTTTGAGTACCACGTTTCACATAAAGGAAACCACCAAGCATTATATTTTAATCAATTAATGGGTCAACCAACAGAGAGCTGATAGACCACCAAGCATTATTAATTATAATGCACTGTAGTAAGTAAAGAAGGATGAATGTGCAGAGTTAAGCTGCCTGCTCATCGTGGGCAGCTGCAGGGTTTAATCGGCAGTTACTTCAAACAAATAGCTATAATTTGACGGGGCTTAGCAGGGCACACGGTGCAGGGGCGATCGATCGAACGCCTGGTGGGCAGGGCACACGGCCGACTAAGTGGAGAGGTGTGGAGTGTGAGGCCGGGGATGGCGTCCGTACCTGATGGGGAGGAGGCGGCTCCTCCCGTGAGCTGCCGACGAGGAGGGGTAGGTGGAGGCGAGGCGAGGCGTGCCGGTGCTGGACCTCGGGAGGAGCGTGGCGGCGGTGGCCGCGCTCATGGCCATGGCGCTGGAGCGGCACTCTCGCAGTGGGAGAAGGTTCGACGGGCGCTGGCGTCGTGGCGGAGTCAAACGATAGATAAGGTGCCTCGTCCGGTAGCGTGGCTAGACTAGTGTGTGCGCGCCATGTGAGATCGCCGTCCGCGCCGCTGGTTGGAGATCACGCGGCGTCCGTCGGATCGGAGGACGGTGGCGTCTGGTCGGTCGGAGGAGCGCCGGTTGCCCGCCTACCACGGAACGTGGCATGGCCGGTGTTTATTGGATTCCAGTGGGTGGGCCCGCTAGCGCCAGAGGTGGCACGACACCGCACGCGTCAGTCAGTGGGTGCTCCACCGGAAGGGGTTGAGATCCTCTGCTGTAATACACCGTGCTGTACTGCGGATGACATGTGGGACCGGGTCCACATGTCAGTGACACTACAGCATCGTACAGTACTGCAGAGGATCCTGACCCCACCGGAAGATATCAGATGATACCAAGGCTTACGTAATAGTATATACTATGATACGGGCTCCCGAGAACCGTTGAATCCAGAATCGATGGCTACCGGAAGCTTTTGAACATTTCACAAAAAAATTCATCTTAGCACTTTAGATGCCGTCAGATTTGAGATCCAACGCCCGAGAAACCCGTATCATGGTATCACCTAAGCTTTGGTATCACCTGAAATTTTTCCGGTGCTCCACTACGTCGACGAGGAATTCCTCCTAACAAAAACACTTTTTCTTAAAACGCAGGCAAACGAGGCGAAAAATCATCACAAGAGCCCATAAAATTAGCTCACGCATGTACACTTGAGCTACCCACACTTGTTGTCGAGAAGAAAAACCACCTTCGATGTTGCCATTTAGTGTCGTTGCCATAATTTTTTTTAGAACATAGACGTCAGGGACGTTCGGTTTTAAATTAATAAAGCCCACAACATAGGCAGTGTATCTCGACCACACAAACAACACACGACACCAGACATAAGTCGAGCAAGGTTTAGGGAACAGCAACCGGAGGCGGAGTAAAGTGCGTTACAAGGCGCTACCGGCCTAGCCAAAAGAGCACGCAGGCTCAGCGGAAACTACGACCAAAAGGGGCTGCCCATCCCTATGCGGCAGCAGACGACGCGGACGACGGGGCACGGGACTCCGAGTAGACTGAGCGAAGACGACAAAGAGCATGGCGATGGAGATCAGAGTCCTGCTGTCTTCCCAGCGGTGCCCAATGCTGCAAGAACACGATGCATTTGAAGATTACGTCAGCGGGATGCGAGGGAAACACGCCCTCAATAGTAAACTTGTTACGAATATGCCAAATAGCCCATAACATGGCCGCGACACTTGTCCACATGACCCGACGAGCCGGGCCTTGAACCAAAGACAAGGAAGACACTAGCGCGGAGCGGGAGCGTGGATCCCAATCCACGCCCGCGGCCTCACGGACCGCGCTCCAGGCAAAGCGCGCCAATGAGCACCGGAAGAAGGCGTGGTCAGCATCTTCCGGAGCCCCACACAAAGCACAAGGGCCAGAGGCGGGGCCGTTGCACTTAGCAAGGTTGATAGAGGTAGGAAGACGGTCTTGGCAGAGGTTCCAGAGGAAGACCTTGATCTTGAGGGGAATTTTAGCCTTCCAAAGCCCCGAGGCAGCCGAAGGGACATGGCCGCGGGTAAGCTCTCTGTATAGGGAGTTGACAGAGAATTTGCCAGAGCCCGAAAGTCTCCACGAGACCGAGTCCGCGGTGTCTGACAAGCAGACATCTGCTATCAAAGCCTGAAGGCGATCCCAATCCACCAACTCCGTCCCCGATAGTTCTCTTCTGAAGTTGATAGAGGGTGGGGAGGAGCTAAGAGCCGAAGCAACCATTTGGTTGGGCTCGACAGCTATGGAGTAGAGTTGGCGGAACTCCAACCATAGAGGTTGTTGGCCAATCCAAAGATCGAGCCAAAAGCGCGTGGAGCGCCCGTTGTTGACCGCAAACTTCGCGCCCCTGGCGAAGAAGGGTTTGAGGGCTTGTATGGAGTTCCAGAAGGGGGACCCAAGAGAAACCGCCTCGAAGAAATTCCCGTTCGGGAAGTATTTCGCACGAAGGAGGTCGACCCAGAGGCCAGTCTCACCCTGAGACATCTTCCAGATCCATTTGCACATGAGTGCAATGTTCATCAACTTGGAGTTGATGATCCCGAGCCCCCCCTGGGCTTTAGGTCTACAAACGGCCTGCCATTTAACCATATGGTACTTCCGTTTAGGTCCCGCTCCTTCCCAAAAGAAACGCGACCGTGGAGTATCCATTTTAGTGTGCACCCCATCAGCCAGCAAGAACAAACCCATGGCAAACATAGGTAGGGATGAGAGCCTGGGATTAGTTAAGATTAGTCTAGCCCCTGAAGACATGAATCTACCTCTCCACGGACAAACCCTGTCCGCAACCTTGGAGGTGAGAGGTTCCCAATCGACGATCGAACATTTCTTCGCCGCGATCGGGAGGCCGAGGTAAGTAAACGGAAACTGGCCAAGTTTACAGTTAAGCAAGTTAGCGACCCGTTGACTTTCGGCCGCGTCCATCCCTATGGACACCACTTCACACTTGTGGAAGTTGATTTTAAGCCCTGACATAAGTTCAAAACACAGCAGAATGGCCTTGACCGTTGCGATACTGTGTGTGTCTGGCTCGAAGAGGAGAAGTGTGTCATCCGCGTATTGCAGGTGTGACACACCCCCCGGAATAAGATTGCCCACCACTCCCCTGATGTGGCCGGCCAAACGAGATCTGTCTAGCATGGCGCCCAAGGCGTCCGCCACAAAGTTAAACAACAACGACGAGGCCGGGTCCCCTTGACGCAACCCACGCTTGTTGCGGAAGAAGTTCCCTACTTCTCCGTTCACCGCAATCGCCGTTTGGCCCCCTGAGACCAATTGCATCATGCGATGAACCCAAACCGACGAGAATCCTCGGTCCAGGAGGACTTGTCGGAGAAACTCCCAGTTAACGCGATCGTACGCCTTCTCGAAATCAAGTTTCAGGAGAATCGCAAGCCGGCGAGCGCGTTTTAGGGAGTGCACAATCTCTTGGAGGGCCAACGGTCCCTCCAAGATGTTGCGACCACGAATAAAAGCCGATTGGTTCCTACTAATAATACGGTGAGCTATCGGAGACAAGCGAGTCGAACAGGCCTTAGCACAAATTTTAAACGGTACATTAATCAACGCAATGGGACGAAAGAGCCTAATATGATCCGCACCCGAAACTTTAGGGATCAGAGAGAGAACCCCAAAGTTTAGGTGAGAGATATCTACCGTACCCCACATAAAACCATTACAAACGTCAAAAATAGGTCCTTTGAGCACTTGCCAGAACCGTTAAACATCGCCACCGGCCACCCATCCGGCCCGGGTGCAGTGTCCGATTTCATCCCAAGGACCGCCTTGTCAATCTCCTCCGGGAGGAAGGCCAACCCCAAGCCCTCATTTTCCTCGTCCGTGATCCGCAACGCAGGGTCCCACACATCCGCCCTAAGCCGGGCACGGGATTCCTCCCTGGAACCATAAGTTGGATGTAGAAATCGTAAATGTGGCGGACGATATCCTATTGCCGCAAAAGGAGCCCCTGCTCGGATCGCAATCTCAGAATGGCGCATTTGCGGCGCCGGCCATTTGCGTAAGCATGGAAATACCTAGTGTTCACGTCTCCCTTGAGCGTCCACTTGATACCCCTGCGTCTACGCCAGTACTCCTCCTCTGCTCTAAGGAAGGACTCGACTTGGGCTTCAAGCGCGTAGCGCTGAGCCCGGTCTTGCTCCGAAGAGGCCTGCACATCCGCCGCAGCATCCATCTGAGCGAGATCCGCAGTCAAGCGCGATCGGAGCAACTTATCCTCGCGCCCTGGTTGGCCCCCCACCCTTTGAGGGCCGCACGCAAACCCGCCCCTGCGGCAATCCAGAACTCCATCGGCCCACGCGCGTGCCCGACCCGGGCGACGCTATTCTCCCATTTCGAGAGGAAGATTTGCTCAAAGTCCGGAGACTCTAACTAGGCTGTTTCGAAGAAAAAACGAGGGCTACGTTTTAACCTTTCCTCCCCCGAGGAGAGGATGAGGGGGACGTGGTCCGACCCTATCATCGTTTCGGCGTGCAAAGAACACATGGGGAATAGCATCTCCCACTCCGTGGGACATGAAAACCCTGTCCAAGACCGACCGCACCGGCGTTACCTTTTTGTTGGTCCAGGTGTAGCATGCCCCCACGCGAGCCACTTCCCTAAGAGCCATGGATGCGATCGCATTATTAAACATGGACACCCTTGTCCAGTTAATTATACCGTTTGTTTTTATCCGCGCCCGAACGAATTAAGTTGAAATCCCCTCCCACTAGCAGAGGAAGGTTACGCATGCCCAAAGACGCAACCTTTGTCTGGAGTTCTCCCAAGAACTCAAGCGAGAGCAAGTGGTCGGCCGGGCCGTAAACCACAATCACCTCCTACTCTTGGAGAGTTGCGCGGTGGCGCACATGAGCTGACAGAAAGAAACGACCGGCATCCCACGCCACCGCCTCGAAGCACACTAGGTTGATGCCTAGCAACATGGCCCCCGAGTGCCCGACCGCCGGCACCCAATGCCAAACAAAACGCTCTAGCGGGTCGACGGCTAGCAGATCCCGATGATTAAAATCGGCCTTGATAGTTTCCTGCAAGCCTACTATGTCGATCCCCTCTTCCCGAATGAATTCTTTTAACTGGGTCCGCCTCCCAGTGTGGCCGAAGCCTCGGATATTCCAGAATATGAAACGCATTAGATTATGCGATTGCGGATGCGGATACCGCGAGCGGTTACCGCTTTGGCCACGCGCCGTGTCTTGGCAGGACGACGGTTGGAGGGGGACGGCGCAACCTCTGCTGCTATGTCCTCCTGATCGGGCCGCACAACAGATGTCGTTGCCATAATTCATCCATGAGCCCATGATCTCGACTTCTAGGGTGTGTTTAGATTGTCGCCAAAGTGCACCCTAATAAAATTTTGGTCATAA